AGTCTTTTCTTAATTCCCCAATCCATCCTTCCACCATGACCTTATCATCTATGCTACCCTAGGAGATAAGGTGAGTTGCAAGTTCAAAGATTGGAATGGAAGTGTTGACATTAATTAGTCATTCTTTATTCTATTTTATTCTTCACCTTTTTAAAAAATTCTGAAGATCTGTAAAGGAAAGGAATGTTGTGGTTGTTGGTGGTTGTCAAGTTGAGTTAGACTCATAGTGACTCTGGAAATTTACTTAGTTTATAAGGATCTGCTCAAAACCATTCCTAGAAGATGGATGTTAAGGATGTCTCAAGTGCCCAACTTTTCCAAACTGTGTCACCTCTAACATCAACTCTCCCCCTTCCACTCCCTACCCTCCCTCCCATCTTCGCATTCTGTAATGTTCTACACTCTCACAGAACTCAAGAACTGTCAAGGACAAAGCACACCGAGTTGTGGAGCCTGGCGTTCTCAGGTTGGAGACACCTCCTGAGCCATGGAGTAGCAGAGGCAGGACATGAGGAGACAAAATTGGCAGGTAAGACAAGAGACTGCTGGCTCAAGAACTGGAAGGGAGAGGACAACACACTAGATGGAGAATCCAGAAGCAGGGATAAAGCCGGAGCATTAGTTGAAGACCATATCCTCAAGGAAATTCTCCTAAGCGGAGCAAGCCAGTGGAAGGGGGTGCCTTGAACAAAGGTGGCAAGGGTCCTGACTAAAGTAAGGGTGATGCGTTGGGTCATACCTTCTAGTAGAGTGGTGACTCAAGATACACCCCACTCTAATCCTGGCTCATTGACAAAATTCACTCCCAAATGGGACCATCTCCACAGGCTCTAGAGCACATCACCAATGGAGGCTAATTACATCACTTCACAAAATGGAGACCATTTACATCGTGACACCATTTGCATCATTACATCGCTGCCAAGCTACTGAAAAATCATGGTCTACCAAGTTGATCCACAACCTGAATCATCACAGGCTCCAAATACCTTATTTACATGAACAGCTAGCTGTCCAATCCCATTGGCAGGCCACAAGCACCTTATTTGCATAGTCCCATCACATCATTGTATGGGAATCACAAATACTATGACTCCAAAACTCAAAAAACGAGCTCATTGACGTCCAGTCGATTCCAGTCATTGCAGCTCTACAGGACAGAGTAGATAGAACTGCCCAGTGGGTTTCCAAGAGTGGGACTCTTTCCAGGAGTAGAAAGGCTCATTTTTCTCACACACAGCAGTTGATTTTTTAAATTACTGATCTTGACCTTAGCAGTCCAACATGTATCACACCACACCACCAGGGCTCCCTAAGACGATAGCTAAAAGAAACTTATTAAGTAACTCACTGTACCACTGACCCATGTGCTACAGAGTAAAACTCATAGGGTTTTCTTGGCTCTAACCTTTACTGCAGCAGATCACCAGGTCTTTTCTCTGCAGAACCACTGGGTAGATTAAATCCTTAAACCTTTCTGCTGGCAGCCAAGCACTTGGGCTAACAGGGCTTCTTTACACAAAAGAGTGATACAATGAGTAGCTATCATCCTTTGCCAAGATGTGCCACCTGTTAGCATTTGGACACATTTAGTTTTTCCTTTCTTTGTCCCTCTTTTGTCCACTACACACACACACACACACACACA